AGACACACAATATTGGGGGAAAAAGATAAGAGGAAGGTCATGGACAAAGCCCCAAGGGATGAAATGTCATAATCCCTCTGAATTTCTGGTGCATAGTGCAGTGTATATGTGCTCTGTGAATATCTGTTGAATGAGTGAATATGATATGCTGGATGGTGGCAATAATCTAGGTGGGCTGGGGAGTATGTGGGTCCATTTGTATACAGTGTATGGGTGTGTGTGTGTGACTGTGTGGGCATTTGTGTGTGTGCTGGGGTGAGAGCATATGGTGGGTATTGTTGGTGTCTACCCAACATCCAACTTCATAATTTTTAGAACCTTGATCATAGGCCTTATAGACTTACTAAGACTCTTCAAAAGTGTCTAAGAACCAAAAAAAAAAAAAAATGTGATGGGCTAGTTACACTATTTGCTTTTCCATTAGATAATACCTGAGAAAAATTATAAAAAAATCATCTGAGAATGATATTAATTTAAGACAAAGCAGATTTAAAAATAAGGCAAACTATGAGAGATAAAGATGGGCATAATTTTAAAAGGCTCAGTTATCCAAGAAAACATAACAATCTTTAATGTATTGCCAACTGCCAACTGAATGTCAAAATACATGAAAATCTGATAAGACTATGAGCAGAAATAGACAAAAAATCCACTCTTACAGCTGGGTTACATTTGGATTGTTCAATACCCCTCTTTCAACAATGGATAAAGCAATCTGAAAATTAGTGAAGAAATAGCCTGGACAACACTATCAATCATTGGGATCTAATTGATATTTATAGAATACTCCATCTAACACAAAAGAATATACATTCTTCTCTGAGGCACACAGAATATCCACTAAGAGAGACCACACTGTGGGCCATAAATGTACCTTAACAGAGTAAAAAAGAATAGAAATCATTCAAGTATATCTCATATCACGATGGAATCAAACTAAAAATACGCAAGGGAAACATAACTGAAAATCCCCAAATATCTGGGGACGAAACAACACACGATAGCACAGGGATTAAAGAGGGCATCTGAATAGAGATTTTAAAAATATTTTGAACTCATGAAAATGAAAATACACCTTATCAAAATTTGTAGGCCATTAAATGTGCATAGGTCCCAGCCAGAAGCCCAACCAGACAACAGGTCAGCTCAGGGATCCACAAGGCCACATTTCTGAACCCAGGAATTAAGTGTACTGGTGAGCAGAAGAGAAAAGGCAACTCTATGGCTTGCTGAGAACTGAAGACCACTGGATGAGCAAAAAGTTGCCTCAACAAAAGCACAGCAGGCTGCATCTGTTGAAGTGAGAAGACCCATAACCAAGTCTCAAAACCAGACTTCGAGATCACCTAAGGTAACCCCAAAGGGAAATGAGATGGAACAATCTGATACTCAACCATCTGGACTCCCTGAACTGGCAACAAAAGAGGATCTGAAAAAAATGAAATCAGAAATAATTTCTCAGATAACAGCAGAGATTGTGCCCATAGTGCAAGACATGATTAATAAATCTAGAATGGACACAGATAAAAAAATAGAGGAGCTGAGGAACATGATGGAATCCCAAAATAGGAAACAAATAGAATCCATAAAACAGATGCAAACAGATTTCTAGGAGATTAAAAACTTCATTGAAAGTTTATGCAGCAGAATGAGCCAATGTGAGGACAGAATTTCAGATATAGAAAATAAGATTGCAATTAGTGAACAGGAAAAGAAAAATTTCTTAAAAATTGTAAGAGACCATGAGAAATCAATGCAGCAGCTGCTAGATGATGCAAAGAAGAATAACATAAGACTGATCAGAGTCAATGAAGAAACAGGAGAGAGTGCAGATGACATAAAAAAACTGTTTACAGAAGTAATGGCAGAAAACTTCCCAAGCAGGGGAAAAGAACTTGACATACAGATAAGTGAGGCATATAGGTCTCCAGCTAGCCTTGAGCAAAAAATATCTACACATAGCCATATAATAGTTAAGATTCCAGAAACCTAACAGAAGAATAAAATTCTACAAGCAGTTAGAGAAAAGAAACAAATCAGATACAAAGGAAAGCCCATCAGAATCACAGCAGACTTCTCAATGCAAACCTTCAAGGCAAGAAGAGCTTAGAGTGATGTATTTCAAGCCCTAAAGGAAAACAGCCTCCAACCCAGATTGATGTATCCTGCAAAATTATCTTTCAAAATTGATGGAGAAATGAGATACTTTCATGACAAAGAGCACCTTAGGAACCTTATGAATACCAAACCAGCCCTCCAAAATATTTTAGAAAATATCCTAGGAACAGACAATGAGGGTCACAACCCCAGGAAGCCCAGCAGAATGAATCCATCAGGGATGACAAAAAATTAAATGCAAAGGGGGAAGAATCCAACAAAAAGAAAAAGTCATGACAATGATAAGTCAATATGTATCAGTTATAACTATCAATGTAAAATGGTCTCAATTCATCAATCAAAAGAAATAGACTGGCAGAATGGGTCAAGAAGCAAAATGCAACAATATGCTGCATACCAGAAACATACTTAATTTAAAAAGAAACTCATAGATTGAAAGTTAAAGGGTGAAAAACAGTACTCCATGCGACAGAAACCCCCCCAAAAAACAGGAGTAGCTATCCTCTTTGCAGATCAAATAGATTTCAAAATCTGAAACACTTCTGGTCCCAAGAATTTCAGATAAGGGACAGTCAATCTGTATGTACAAATCTATTGTGAACATGAGTTTTCATTTCTCTTAAGTAAAAACTTAAGAACAGAACTGTTGGTTCTTAACAGTAGTACAAGAAATTTATATATTGTTTTCCAAAATGGTTTCATCATTTTACATTCACATTAGCAGTATTAGAAAGTTCTAAGTGCTTCACACCTAAGCTGACATTTGTTCTTTTAAAACTTTTAACTTAATCTCCCTAATGAGTGTATAATACAATCTTGTTATTCTACTGATTAGTATTTTTCTGACTCTAGTGTTGCACACCTTTCCTTGTGCTGTACTGGGTATTTATCATCGTCCCGTGTCTGTTTTTTAATTGGGTTGTCTATTCATGAGCTGTAAGAGTTCACTATATTTTCTGGTCATTGGTTATATGTATTATAAATATGTTCTGGTTAAGGACTACTTTTCATTTTCTTAACGATGTCTTTTAAAGTTCTAACTTTTTTTTTTTTTTGTACCAGGGATTCAACTCAGGTCCTTGTGCTTGTGCAGCAGGCGGTGAAATCACTGAGTTAAATCCCCGACCCCTAAAGTTCTAAAGTTTGATGGAATCTCTTATCAATTTTTTCTTTTATACATATTTTTTGTATCCTAGGAAATTCTTGCCTACCCGAAATTCATGAACATTTTCCCTTATAATTTCTTCTTAAACTTTTAGTCTTTCATATTTAGGTTCATAGATCCTTTCAACTTATTTTCATGTATGGAAATAAAGGGTTGAGGTTAATTTTTTACAAACAGATACCAGGTGTTCTAGTACCATTTGTTGAAAACACTATCTTTTCCTCTG